ATTTTTGTCATCACTGACATAGAAAAAAAATAATTCGTAGTAAACTAATGAAATAGAAAAAAATCTACCTTCATATATATTCTTACTCATATTTTTATGTTTCTTTGTAAGATATAAAATGAAAGATGATTTTTAATGGTGAAATAGGATTCTATTGATTTTAGACAATATATTACTTTCATCACTCAAAACAGGTGAAACTAGACCTCTACCCGGCCCAAGGCCGGCTAGAAAAGTCGGCTGACTGCAGAGCCCGAAAAATATCAAAATCTGGTCCTATACGACATCTACTATTTCTAAACCCAAGACTTGTGTAGAAGAAACCATAATGAATCTGAATCGTCGATTTTCATATAAGGAAGCTCTCAGCTGTTCATTATCGTTCATCGTCTCATCTGTATAAACAATGAAGAGATTTTTTTAAACGTTTGAGACTCTTTCATGGATGAATTTAAGTTATGCAAGACGATAATTAAAGTATATATGCACATAAGATCTGAAATATGAATGGTGTGGGTGCCTGTGAACGAGAAGAACAGCCACCCACACATCCACACCCGTGTAGGTACAGTGATATAGTCCCAACAGTATAGGAAGAGTGATATACTTATGAGGATATCGGTAAAATGATATATTCAAAAGAATATAGGCAGAATGATATATCTATAAGGATATACGTGACGTCATATACTCACAAGGCTAAAGGTAGAGTGCTATATTCATGAGGAAACAGGTAGCGTGATATACTTCAGAGGATAGGTAGAGTAATATATCCATGAGGATATAAGTAGCATGATGTTCTCACAAGAGTATAGGTAGAGTAGTGTACCGAAAAAGGATATTGATGAAGTACTATATCCATGCGGGTATTGTTAGATTGGTCTATCTATGAGGATTGGAATTGAATGTTATATTCATGACTGTTTTCCTTCACGAATAGAGGTGTAAATTGTGAACTTTTTCGCGCTCTCTGTCGATTTCAAGTGGTACCAGGTTGTTGAGGTCTAGTTGTTAGAAGGTTATATTTAGCTGGAAATACCGGTAAGTGTGTTTACAGATGAAAATTTTCTTTAGAGTGAGAAGTTAATTTGAATTATAATTCACTTATCAATATTCGACAGTATCAGTGATGTGAATAATGTGAGACTATGAAGAAATCTTTTGCATTCCTATTAGACGGTCGTGTATGATCATACAAGATCGTACGGTTCGCTCATGTGTGGATTTTAGTGTAAGATCTGATGTAAAATTGCAGACACGACGATTTTCCATACGATTTTTCGTATGATCCTTTAGGATCAGGTACGATATTACTGTAATATCTGATACGGACTTACAAGAATCTGTCACTGATCTTAGGGTCTGATTTCTCGACCTGCGTGGTCTTGGAAGAATCGTACATCAAGATTTGATATAAATTTTGCAGACACGAAAATTTCTCACACGATTGGCGTCTGATATTACAAGATCATACACGCTTAGACATCTGATTCTAAGATCTTACGTCTGACTTTTTGAGCTGGGATTCCACATAATCCGAGCCCACCCAATCCTATTGATTCAGAGCAGGGCTCGAAAAACATCTGACAGGCTAAATTTCTGCCACCTGAACTCCTATTGGTTGAGTGCGGACCCAGGAAACATCTGATTGGGCTGTTCAGTAGAACTTTAGTCGGAAAAGACGAATCTCTGCCACGAAGTCTGTTAGGCTCAAAGAGGTTTCCAGCTTGCGAAAGATCAAAAGAATGTTTTTTCTTCTTGTGCGAACGAACGTAACAACTCATTTTTCGTAAGATCCTTCTTTCAGTAGAGGGAACAAAATTAATCATTTTTTTTGTTGTTTTTTTTTTATTTGACGAATATAGAATCTTTTAAAGCATTAATGTTTTGATGTGTAATATGTTGAAAAAGTGTTTGGAGTTATTATTGTTTTAAAAAAAATATGGTAAATCAAGATATATAAATTTAGTATGAATAAGAAATATATGAGGAAGATTTGATGTATAATAATTTGTTAAGTGAAATATCGAAGAGCAATGTTTTATCGTAGATAGGAGAAAAAGTTTTCGATGAAATAGAACCTATTGGATTGGTTCGGATGCAACAACTTTAAAGTTTCAATGGTAACAAACTAAACATAATCTTAGTCAACTTTTTTTTTCCTAAAATACTTTTTATACAGGAAGGAAAATTTATACTGTTGTTCAACTAAAAAATAAATAGAATAGTTTATATTCATCAATTTGATTGACAATATGTGAAAAGATTGAAAAGAATACACTCTTTGAATAGTTGTTCATGAGTATTGATTTAATATTTTGTCTTTGGTAGGAATCAAATATTCTTAAAATCATAGTTTAAATAATAAAATCTTTTTGCTTTACTATTGTAGTATCTGTTTACCGGAAATATCACAATCGAATTCCATTGTTTAAATTGTATTACCATCATTTGTAGTTAAAAATTTTCATACCTAAATAAAATTACAAGTAATGTTCATTGAGAATCGATTCACTGATTCTTAGACTGATGGCATATGAATATTCATGCAGTTGCTTTTAAATGTGAGCATACGTTAAATAAAATCTATTTTCTCATAGACATTTATTTCAACTTCAAGACCCATGTTCTATGATTAAATTTACTCAACAAGTTATAATTTATATGAAATACTGATATGCTTGTCAACTTAATTTTTATATAACTCATATTAGTCGGTTAATTTCAAAAGCAATGACTAGATGTCTGATGTCGTTTGAGCTAAAAATTCCTAGGTGCTAAGTTATACCATAGATACTAAACTACTCTTTTTTTGGCTATAGTTGCCATATGGTAACCGTGTTACAGATAGACAGACAGACACATGTAAATTTACGTTTCTAGATCCTATGCTTTCAGTCTAGGGAATACTAAAATTGTCGATAGGAATAATATCCGATAATAAAAACATCGAATGATAATTATGTTGAAAGAAAAAATGTCAGTATCTAGATTTTACATTATTCGTATGCCAATAATTTTATATTTGCATCGTTTTTTTGTCAATCTTGAGCATCAGCATTCATTCCTGTTAGTATGTGTTGAAATCAAAATCTTTTTCCTTGTTAGAATAGTTTAAAAGCAGTGTTAGCCTCCCTCACAAATACGATTAATGCGATAGAGAATATCATAAAACAATGGTTCACTACGATAGAACAATGTCCAAGAGTATAGTATTGATTTACAACATTTTTTTTACATTTTGATTTTAGAGTAGACATTTTTTACCCAAACTCTCTTTCCTACAGCTCGCGACAGTATGTTCTATAAATATATGTCAGATATTACTCCGATTTTTCTACACCCATGTCATTTTTACAACTTATATTGAAAATTTTCGTTGAAAAGGTAGACAGAAAGTCCAAAGGATCTCCCCTATAGAACCATACTAATCGCAGGTTTCTATATTGTATTATTTAGACAAACGGAATCGATTTTACTAGGAGTGACTAGATGGCACCAGGACACAATACTATTTTTCTTCAAACATTAAAGGCCGAAAATCACAATATTTAATTTCAAGTGCCAAAACATTTTTCTGATGCAATCGCGAAGACTATAGTGCTTGAGTAGAGACGATAAATTGTACGAGAAATATTGCTATTCTGTTAATGACAAAAATATATGAATCATCGAGTTTGTAATCAACTTTACCGTCTGTTGCATCATCGATTTTTTGATGTTTAGTGTCATCAGTTTCATCATCCACTTCATCGCGTTTCATTGTCCGACTCATCATCGATAAGGGGTTTTTCGATTTGTTGAACATATGCGGCTTCTCATCTCAAAACGAGTTCGTTTTGATAAGTGTGAGTGATATAGCTGTTGGCAATAACGAAATCTTACGTATCTAGCCAATGAAAGATTAATCAATGAACGTTTGCTAATTAATTGGAAGCTGGTGTTGTGTTCGCGTGCACATGACTTCATAGTGATTCATGCTTATTCAGCATAGTTTAATGTGCAATATTTTACACGTACTCTTACATAACGTGTGGCTTTAATGAGTCACACAACTCTCCAACTCTGGAAGTTGTCATTATCAGAATAGTATTTTTCTCGTAAAATTTCAACTTTCTCACAATTTATTGTCTCTACTCAAATACTATACTCTTCGATTGTATCAGAATTTTTTTTTTGAAGTTAAAATTATACACTGTGATGTTCAACCTGATTAATAACTTGGCAAGATTCGGTTACTCCTAATGAAATCGATCTCTTGTCTATAACTTACAAACAAAAAAATAGGTTAATCTAATGAAGAATTCTTACCAGACGACTGATTTTTCAAATAGTAAAAACTTCTGATCTCTATTTTATTTCTATCGAAAGTTATTCAACAGCTGATAATTAGCCTTTCATTTTGGATCAGGACATAGTTGCAATTTTCTTAAGAGTGTTTCGAACTCAAAGCAAAGAAATGAATCGCTTTCATACATTACACTCGAAACCGATAGGATTTTATTTTGACCGACATCTTGAAATTCTTAACTTAACCAGCAAAAAATTAGTTTGTTTAATATGTCAATGAATCAACCAGATAGTTTTTTCAAGCAAAGTTTATTACAACAACTCTATGAAGATCATGAATAAAAACAAAATCCATAAACGCACTCAAAGAAGCATTTTATATATTTTAATGGGACGTCATTATTATACGGCATGTAATCGTATATCAACAACGTTTGTAAGGCTGGGTTGATGTGAAAATTTTAACTTCTATACTATAATACATTTTTTAGATAGTATTTCACAATAGTGACGATAGAAATTGTTATCAAAACTTGCCATTACGCCACATAAATCAAGAAAAAGATCAACATTGCATCAAACTTATAACGTAACGTCTTGAAATACTTGTTTTTTCTTTGGGGTTTGTAATTGCACAATCTGTATGAAACACCATATAAGTAAATGGGGCACGTGTTACACTATTAACATTAATTTTTTCTATTCTTATCATGGCGTCATGTACAATTACTTCGCCGGGAGGTAATGCTCCTTCATTGGTAAAATTTCGAATACCATTTCATAGTAATAAACAAAATGAAGATTGTCTTTCACGAGTTATTCTTGTCATTGATCGATCTGGATCAATGTGTGGAGGTAAAAAGAAAAACCTATAATATTAATTTAAAATGAAAATTAATTAAAATAAAATATAGGTCCATGGAAACAAGTTCAATCAGCAGTTCAAGCAATTTATGAAATGAATCAAAAATTAGCAAGAGATGCTAGTTTCGAACCTATTGTTATAACTTATAATGATACAGTTTCTGTTACTGATTTAGCTTCAATAGCAAAAACAACAGCATGTGGATCAACAGATTTTGTTAAAGGTATTTTCATTTTTTAAATTTGAAAAAAAAAAGACACAAAACAATTTTATAATTAGCTTTTCAACAAGTACAAAACACTATAAAACAAATAAATGTTAAAAAACGTATTGTCATCATTTTTATGACTGATGGATGTGATTCATGTAATCGTCCAAATGCAATTATTGATGCACAAACAAAATTACGTATGTTTTTAAACAAATCTGGTTTCGATTGTGTTGTACATGTTATTGGTTATTCAAAAGATCATGATTTAAATATGATGAATACATTAAAAACTTTAGGTACAACTGAAGGTATTTATCGATATGCTGAAGGTTCAATGGGTTTAGATGAAAAATTTCGTGAATTATTTGAATTTGCTGATTTAACAATTGAATTTACAATAAAATTACCTAATATTAAAGAACCAATTAAAATTACTGGTGAAATGATAGATTCGAATTATGTTGAAGCTGAATGTTGGTTATCATTAAATGAAAATATAAAAGATCCTATTGAAATAATTATTGGTACAAATCATTATAATATTATACCAAAATCAACTGAACCTGATACAATTTTTATTATTAAATCTTTATCAAAACGTACAAATGATATAACAACTCAAAATGAATTAGATCAAATTCAAAATGAATTACAACAAGTAAATATGTTTGGAAGTTATCTTAGTGGAACAAAAACTGATCGACAATTAGCTATAGAACTTCGTGTTGAACTTCAAACACGTTTAAATACATTACATTCTATTATGGCTGATATTGCACGTGGTACATTAAATCAAACAGCTGCTCTAGCAAAAATGAATGATTTAAGATATGCAGATAAGTAAGTTAAATTTTAAATGTTGTTTAGGTTTTGTTTTTTTAAATTTATGATTAAAAATAATAGATTTTCAAAATCATCACGTCAACGTCGAATGGATCAACGTGCAGTACGTAATCAAGCAAATCTTCAATTAATTGATAAAAAATTAAATGAACTTAAATTTAATCAAGAAACTGCTTTTAATAATGTTGATCTTACAACATTTACTTGTTGTTTAACATTAAATAATTGTCAAGATATGATGATAGAAAGTCAAGATGATATTATGGGTGTTGGTCTTGTTGTTGAACGACAAGAACATGTTGTTGATGCACCAACATTAATATCTGTTAAACATGTATCAGTAACAATACTTTCACGTTCAGCATGTGATGATGCTATTAAAATGAAACTTAATATTGGAGATGCAGCTCAATTACATGGAGGTTTTATTTTATCAAAATCAAATGCACCAACAACAAGTACAAATTTTAAACAACGCAAATCAAATAATCAACAACAATCAGAATTTACTCGTGGTGTTGCTGCCGAACCAATAAATACATTTTTACCACTTTATATATGTGATGCACATTTTGAACGTGTACAAATTATGTTAGAACCTATACTTGGTTATATATTTACACTTGATATAACTGGTTATAAAAATGATCAACTTTTAGGTCTTTATTCAATTCTTGGTCAAATAATGAATGCTAGTCCACGAAATGGATCAGAACGTGAAGAAATTATTTTATATGAATTTACACGTTTATGTCAAAATCTTCTTCCACGAACACTTGAATATCTTGGTCAAGAAAATGATATTTTAAAAAAATTTATGGCAAATCCAACTGGTCGTAGTAAAGCACATATACAAAATTTAATGACACTTTTTGGTTATATTCATGCATTAGGTATAAAAACAATTGATGAATCAATTCGTTATGCTATTGTTGAAGAATTATATCGACGTCATTTTTCTTATATATATCATGGTACATCAGATAATATTATTAATGAACATTTACAATCATTACTTTATGATAAAGATGATGATAATAATAATAATAATGATAATGATACAAATAAAGAATCAAATATAAATGATTTATCTTATGTTAAAACAAAAAATGATAAAACAAATGATGGTCATTTTGCTCAATATGCTCGAGCAGTATTAAAAAAAAATGAAAAAAATCCTAAAATTCCAACAGAAAATATTGATATTGAATTTGAAATACCTGAACGACCAATAAGTATAATGAATAATAAAATACGTTCAAAAATGATTGAATTATTATCTCCTTTTTCAATCAAATCAATTCAAAACGTTCTTGATCGATTAGGTATTCGTATGATGGATATATCAAATGAACAAGAATGTCATATACTTCGATCAATGCTTGTTCAATGTCTTCGATTTTATTCAAATGAATCAATTAATTCAGCTGTTTTCAATAAAACATTTTTTGATGTACGTACAGATTCTGAACGAATTCTTATTGCTGCACATGAAGATTTTGATGCTAATCGTCAAACTTTAACAAAAAATAGAATTGAGCAAATTCGTGCACTTGAAATTGCACGACGTACAGTATTAACAAAAGATATTGGTGTATATCTTGGTAGAATGATGATCTATGCACCAACACGTGGTGGTAAAATATTTGATACTATATTAAGTTTATTACTTGATCGTAGTCAAAAACAAGTACCTTTATTAGCAGAAAAAATATCGATTATATTTACAGGTCGTTATAAAGAACATCATGATGCTGAAAAAGAATTTGATGTATTAAGTAATGGTATTGCTTGGTTTCCGGATCGATCAATTATTAATCGTGTAAAAGAAGCACTTGGTGAAGATCAATGGGATGATTTAGATCGATTGATGAGAGGTCGTACTTGTGGTCACGTCTATCGTTTATCGGATATCCCTAATCGTCATGGTTATTGCAATTCACATCCAAATCCACTTTTGGTTGTTCAATGGTCTCCATAAAAACTTGCTCTTTGAAAAACGAGAACGAAAAACAACGTTATCTATATGTAAACATTGTGAATAAATAAATGGCTTATCCAACAGTCATGATGTAATCTTTTTTCTACTATCTCGTTTCAATATTTCAATAAAATTATCCCGAATAGGGTTGAAATTTTCATTAGATTTCGAGGTTTTCATACCTGTTTTAAGATTAAAATATAGGCTGATGACTAGAGGTGTAAGCCGATGAGCTGACCGGCGGCGGCGCCATTAAAAAAATTTTTTTTTCAAAAGCTCGGCGGCGCAGATTTGAATTACTGGGGCTGCACGGCGGCGGCGGCTCGAAAGTCATTTTTTTCCTACCGCCGACGGCGGCGGCGGCTTAAAGTCCTTCGTCGTTCGGCGGCGGCGGCTGGAAGTTTAGAAAAACTACTATAGCAGTCTATGGGAAAGTTTTTGGGCAACATATTTGCTCATTTTTGACTCTTCTAAAAGTATTTTAGTCGAGTGAACAACTAGAGCTAAGGACCAGAATTTTGTGCTCTTTCCAAATATGGGCTGAATTGGTGTACCTATTCTCGCTCGAGAGCAGTGAGGAGACGTTTCAAAGGTCTAAAAAAACAGTTTGGACGGAAAATTTCTTCGCACATCTTCAGATGCTTGCTACTGATATTCAAAACTAAATGCTGAATCTTTTGTTCACATGTCAGCTTGAACAAAGTTTGTTCTACAAAATATGACATTTGAGTAAATTTTTTTCTGACAAAATACTTACATTGTTGTTCAGTTGCATTTTCGAAAAATCAATTTTTTCATCAGAATTCGATTCTGACAGATGTAGTTCTTGCAAAAACAGTCATATTTTTATATGCGTAAAGGGTACATTTTAGTTCGCCATAACATTTTATAAATAATTATTCGTCCTACAACATTTGCAAGTTGAACCGTTTTTAGCGCTTTTCTAAAGAAACATACGAAGGTCACAAAAGCTTTTTTATTTGCCAGTGACATAACTTTTTCAGAACATTCAAAGACCTCCTCACTACTCTATGACAAGAACAGATACACAATCCCTCAGACTATATTCGGATAGAGCACGGAATTCTAGTGCTAATCTAAAGTTTTTCATTCACCTAGAACACTTAAGCCAATAAAATATGAACAAAATATTGTCGAGAAACTTTTGAATAATCGATGTGTCCAAACTGTGTTTTTAGACCTTTCAGAGATCTCCTTACTTATTCTGGAGCAACAATAGGTACACAATTTATGAGCCTATATTTGGAAAGACCACATCATTCTGGTCCTAATCACTCTTTTTTCACTCGACTAGAATACTTTTATAAGAGAAAAAAATGAACAAATACTTTGTCCAAAAACGTTTTCGTAGACCGTTAAATGATTTTTCACATTTCCTGTACCACTTATATTGCTATAAATACCAATAAGATTTTTAATTGAAAAAAGTAATATCAGCTTGATCGTTTTTCAATTTGTGAAACCAAATTTTGCAATAAACATGTTAATTATCGGCTAACTAATTCGTTTTTTTTGTACAAATAACCGAAATGATTCCAGACGAACGATGGTTTTGGTAGATTAGGTAGGTTCATCTCGATAAAAAAGTTTTTGTTTACACAATATATATTTGTCATTTCAACTGCAAGATGAACCTAAAAATGAACAAAACAAACAGAATTATTTATTTATCAATAAACAGCACCTACAAATTTCTGAAAATTGAAAAAGCAACACCAAAAATAATGATAAATAAAAATTACCAAAATCATCAATACATAGTAAAACTATCAAACTTTGAGTAGGAAATATAACTTGAATTGCTACTGAATAAAACAGAATCACCAGGATTATTAATAAGTGAAAAAAATAATACAACCACTGAGAATACAAATAAATGAAAAATAAATATAACCACCAGGATAAATAGTAGACGAAAAACCGTCACCGAGTTTGTTAATAAGTAGAACGATGTAGCGCACACAAGTCTGTTGCTTGATTTTGTTTTTGTTAATCGAAACTTATAATACTAGTCTTTACTTATATATAATGTTATAGACATTAACAAGTGAAATGATTACTTGAAACTTTTAACCCATACAAAATTAAGGAAAAAATGATTAAAAAGTTGTCGATGTTTATGAACGGTGTCGGCGGCGGCGGCTCAAAAATTTGAAAATTCTGAATGCCCTCGGCGGCGCGGCGGCTGGAACTAAAGTGTCTCAGCGGCGGTGGCTTATAAATTTTTAAAATTTCGACTGTCACGGCGGCGGCGGCGGCTCAGCCGCACGGCTTACACCTCTACTTGTAACTGTGCTTTTGGTAAAATGAAAGCAAACAAACGGTTGTGCTTCGAGAAGTAGCTCTGATATTCATCTGATTGCTGACATGTTTTGGTTTCTGACAATAACAGACCCATTTTCTTTATTCATTGTTCAAGGACTTCGAAATTCAAATATTTGTAAAGTTTGTGAAGGTAACACTATTATCCGATTCAAAATAAAAGACATCTGGCCATCTTTTGAATAACTTTTGATAGGAATAAGATAGAGAGCTGCGGTTTTCACTAGTAAAAAGAAAAGATCCAGGGGGCATAAATCAATGCTGAAATCTGATTGGTTTACAATAGACCAATCAGGTTTTTTCTCGGTGAATATTTTGAAAATGATATTACAAGGCCGCTCTTCCTAACTTGTTCCGTTCAAGAGTTATAAGGGTTTTCCTGAGACGCCTGGTTACAGTTATTGAACCTTGGATCATCCTGAAAGGCATCTAGAATGGGGTAATTCATCATGTTGAGTCGAATGGTGATATTTGTTTTTGGATTCGGAAGTATCTGGCACTGCTACTTCTCA